CCCCTCCACACCTTTCAACACGCGCGCCCCAGGGCGGTCGTACGCCTCCGTCGTGTTTGATGATCTGGCAACATTACGTGGGTGGAAATATGTTTATCTCGTTATCATCGTTTGTTCGAGGGCTTGGTTGACATACTAAACATCTACTGGTATAATAGAGCCCCCCATGTCTCTAACTTGCTAACGCCCTCAGGTTGTCGCGCTCGGTCGTGTGTTGCAATCTCCAACTGCGTTGCACAAAATGGCAGGTGCTTCTCGTCTTGTGTGAGGAGCAAGTGGATCCGCCCTCCATGTCGTCTGTTGTGCATGAGACCCGACTTGTGCGCAGTCCGCGAGCACACCTGCAGCGTGCGGCAGAAACGTGTGCGTAGGGTGGGCAATATTGTCGAGTATAGTCTGCTCTTGAGAAGGCGGGGTTCGTGGGTAACTCATGTACGCAGAGCGCTAGTCTATTCGGAAAATGTTTACGGTGATCGCCGCGGCGACGCGATTGTTGTTTCGTAACCCTACTAGTCTATAAATCTAACGCTTTTTTGTTGGAGTGCAACTTTTTGGGATATTCTATGATTTATTTCTCCTTAATGTGCTGTGGCGTCCTGATCTTTCTGCTGACTGTATATACTGTACATTATGTGCGACTTCAGCAGCTGTGATGGTGCTGGGATGAGGCTACTACTTCGGCGGCGCGGCCGCGGCCGGGTCAGTCTCTTCCTCTTGCGTGTGCGTGTAGTGCAAGCCATCGAGAGGTGTATCCGTCTCTGTGTTATACACATCANGCTGTGATGGTGCTGGGATGAGGCTACTACTTCGGCGGCGCGGCCGCGGCCGGGTCAGTCTCTTCCTCTTGCGTGTGCGTGTAGTGCAAGCCATCGAGAGGTGTATCCGTCTCTGTGTTATACACATCATTGTACAATCGACCAGGCGTTGCAAAATACACAATACATTCGTAGGGCCTACAGCGCGTAACACCCGCGGCATGACTGACCGCTGTGCTATTGATAAGACACGCAATGAATGGACATTTGGCAAGCAGATGTCGGGAGGAACTTGGGTATGAAACACCCTCCAGTGGAACGATCCTCCAGAACAATCGTCCCGACCATTGTTGCCGCGCTACCCCTAGAGCATTTTGTGGAAGGTTTTCACCCAGGGGATTTTTCGCCTGTAACAAATCTAGAGGAAAGGTCCCACACAACCTTCTGGGGGATATTATTGGCCAAAAAGACTCTGGAGGAATTAATTAGCCCACCGCGCTCCAGAGGAAAGCTTGTCAGGTACCTCTAGAGGATAGTTTGCACTATCATGTTATCATCGTGGCAAAAACTGAAGAAATAGGCGAAAAATATAGAAGACCTGGCCCAAGGGGAAGAGCCAGCAGCGAAGCGAGCGGCGGCAACAAAGCGAGCGGTGCTTTTTCTAGGGTGGGTTTTGCGGTCTTCTGTTCACGTGTTAGTCGAGATATCTCGCCGAATACTTTACGAGTTGCCTCAAGAACGGTATCCGGAAGGAGCTCGTAACATGGGCTGTTGGGCAATGCCAAGGTTTGGCGCCATGAGTTGCCGAATGCGCCGGAAAAAAAGGTTGTGTTAAAGCAAAAATGTCAACGGTTGCGAGCGGTCACAAGTTCGGTGTTTTGGACCGCCGCGGGTTTTTGGTTATCCATCGATAACGTTCCGAAGGAGGAGAAGCAAAACAGCAACAGCAACGCCACGCGGCGGGAGGTACCTATCTGCTCCATTTTTCATGCCCAAGGTTTGCTACCGTGGGGTATCGTGCGTGTAGAGAAAAAAGTTTTGGTTGACCCTAAGAATATATCCACGTCAGAGAGCGGCTAGTTCCAACTTCGCGCCGAATGTCTGCTCACAGTTTGTTTTTCAGCGATAACTCTTTGAAGGAGGAAGCAACAGCATTGGCAATGCCACGCGACGGGAGGTAGCTCTACTCACCATCTTTCTCGTACAAGGTTAGATGCCTTGGGGAATCGTGAGTGTCGAGAAAAAAGGTTGCAACTAGCCTCTACTCCCGCACGGAACAGCCCGAAAACGCCGTGCAGCCCTATGTTCTGATCGAGAGTCCGGTCGCCGCTTGTCACGATCGGCATTTTCTCCTCGAGCACCCAACGAGACGGCCCGGGTTTTGGCTTGCCGGCGAGCAGAGTCATCTGGCTACAAATGTAACGTGGTAGGGTGCCGACAGTCGCTCTATGAACAGTGTACAACAGGTTGTGTCGTTACACTTGCTTTGCAGCGGCCTCGCGTCAGGTGTTTGATGTATCTCCCGAGGAGAAATTCGAAAAATACTCCCTTCTTCCCCTCGCTCCTCGACAAGCTTTTGCTTAGACATGGGTTGTAGCGAAGGGGGGGGTTCTTTCTGGCGAGCAGGGCTAGACTCACCCTCAAGGGATGACCGAAACCTTCTTGCTGCTGCGCATATCCGCCGCGAGGCATGCGCGTGGTGGTGTAGTTGGGTCGGCACTGATGGGGTCAGGCGAAAAAATGTAGATGCGCGGGCCTCTGGCCGTCGGCGTAGGCAGCGATGCCCATCTCATTTTTTGTGCGCGGAGGCAGACACCGTCAGAAGGTGGACGGG